TTTATTCTGTAACATTAAAAGTATTTACAAAAGTCAGTCAAAAGTCAAGGTAGATCTCTAATTATGTCAGTTGATAAAAGGATGTTTAATAATGTACAGCATTAATAACTATAAATGATACAGTAGTACTGTTAATAACACCACTGACTGATTAGATAAAAACTACCAGTGAATATAACAGAATAATGCAATTAATACAATCTCCAATAATCTTAGTTAAGTCTGACGTAAACAGTGTTGTTTAATGAAAGCTGTAAATTCGATTATAAGTTATCTAAAGATGATTAAATTAACATATAAATGTAATTTATTCTAAATTTTAAACTACAAATAAAATACAAACAGTTAATGCAAGTTGTACCTAAACGTAACGGCCTAATTTACGTTTAAATTCTCTAAACATAAAAAGTCAGCCTAAATGCTAAATGCAGTTAAATTTGCGATTAACTGGCACGGTAGTGATATCATGATATGTCACGTGGCTGATTATAATAACTTGTACCTAGAGTAGTATGACCTTATTAGAGCTGCACATGGTCATAATATATATAATAAGGTGATTTGAAAATTAAATCGGTGTCAGATTATAAGTTAAATATTTAAAAAACGATTTTATTTAGTTTCAACTCGACATCAGCTTGCGGCAGTGCTGAGTTCCGGGTCCTACTGCAGATGAGCCGGGGATCTCAGCTAGGCTTTTGTGTTCACTGTTCATACTTAGCTTAATATAAACACGATTTAAAATTATTGAAAGGATTGGCATGCTGAACGCCGCCCATGCAGTGTGCAGTTAACCCCGCTTTTAAAAATTTTTGAAGTTTTAATGTACAACATAAAGTGATGAAAGATGCTTCTATGGGCAAAAAACAGTAACAAACTCTGTCATGTAATGCGTAATGACTGTTTTCGGTTTAAATCAGAATAAAACGAATATTCAGAATAAAACGAATATTCAGAATAAAACAAATATTATATTCATATTCAAATTTCTTTATTCAACAATATTTTAACGGGTGATGTTCGTTATAAAATATTTGTTCCATAAAATAGTTGTCCAACTCGGCGCGCGTCCTGGTAGGTTATAAACCTACAAACAATATTATTATTACATCATTGCATTATAGGGACTTAATTTGTGACCTAATCGTTATGCTAGGGCTATTTTGTTAGCTGATGCTGACAGGCACCGCATGGGGCAAAGACTTAGGACCATTACACTGGAGGCTTACAATGACCCTTTTTGAACCCCATGGCAGTGCTAGTTTTATTATGGTACGAATTGTAAAGCGAAGTTATGAAAACGATCAATAATATGCATAAAATGTAAAATCAAAAATCGAAATAAAAAATTGGTGCGCCGCGCATATTTTAATTGATGCGCCGCGCGCTTATATAGTATTTTAACTGATTTATACCGCACTGTAAAATCGAGCGCTACATAAACAACTAGTTATGTTGAATCCCTTGTATTATCTTTTCGTGAATTTTCATATTTACCTCTAACTTTTCTGAATTTTACTTGGGGATCCAATGCTTTGCGTTTATAAACACACCGATTGAAGATAATATTAATATGACTGCGAAGCTTAAGTATTACCCTGAAGCAATTATTACTTCGAAGAAATTTGCACACAATTTTTAGCTAAGAGGAAGAAGGTTAATATCAAAGGTATTTAGTTGAATTTTTAAAAAGTTTGTAATTATATGGTTTCAAACGTAAAGTGTTCATTTTCTACGAATTTCTTTTTGAGATACCATTATTTATAATGTTATGTTATGTTATGTTAAGTTCTTTAAAACAATCTATGCCAAATTATGGCAACATTTAAAACGAACTTCGGTTTTCAGCATAAACATAGTTTTTCAGCAAAATATTGTAGGTTCCTAGCAAGTTCTCAACTTTCTGGAGATGGGCACTCAGTGTGTTAAAACATAATTCTTTGTCGACGTTTCGGCTACATGCCTTTGTCATAAACAGGACGTACTGAAAACTTACATAGCTGCTTCAAAATATTTTCAAACTCAAAGTTGAAATCACACTCACACTAAAAAGATCAATTATTTTGTAAAATAGTAAAAATTAAAAAAAAAAACTCTCGACACATTACAGTACGTAAGCATGATTAGCATCAGCATGCCTTTCATTTTATTTGTACCACTTAAGTCCCAGAACCTTTTATCTTTTAATTCTGCTTGCTATAGTTTGTTATAATATACGGCTATTCTAATTTCTAGAAATTTTCAAGCGTGACGATGAAAATTTTATCGCGAGAATTATCTTTAAGATTTTGTGCATTAAAAAGCCGCGCGGAGTGGGGTAAGGCTTGCTGTTATCAGCGCTTTGGCAGTGAAAAATATGCTGAAATATGTCAGTCCATTAAGCGAACGTTGTTTATTACTGCTCGTTTATTGTGTGTTTGCTGTCGTCCTATGTTATGTTATGTTATGATATGATGTCATGATTTAGCGATTATTGGTCGCTGTATTACTCAATCATCCGATTGGACTTCCTCAAACCAGGTACGTTGTGTAGCAGAAATGCTGGCCAGCTGTCCTCTGAGTTAGCTAGTGTTGACTGTTGCTCAAGAAGCACGCGTTTTGCGTTCGATTTGTAAATATTTATTGAAAATAAGCTAGGTAGGGACGTGATGTTCTTGTTGGTGTCTGTTAGAGCTAGTAAAGGTCCTTTAAAAAAGATGGATGCTTTGAAACATCGGTTATTGTACGTATCTAGCCATTCGCTACTGTTCTCATGATTTGAACCATGCGTGGGTATGTTATCTGGAAACAAATTTCTAATTGATACAGGTACTGTGTTAGGAAAGTGCTTCATGCGGTGCATTAATGTAAGCGCATTCTTTACGATGATGCCGTGTATTGTCAAAATCTCAAATTTGCAGAATGCTTCTCTGGTGTGAGCTGGCAATTTGCCGTCTTTGTAAAAGTAATTTACATATCCTGGCATAACCATCCGCATTCCTTGCTTTTGTTTACAGAATAATGTCTCAATGTGACATTTTGACGCGAATCCCCAGGCTAAAAATTGATGTTTTATAGTTGATACGAGCAACAAGCAACATATGTTTTGATCCTTCGGTTCTACAGCTCTTGACCTAGGCAGTTAAGCTGAACCCGACAGTTTACGATATAGTCAAACAATCTTGATAGTGTGTCAAGGTCTCTCCTCCAACTGACTGTGGTGCTTATCGTCCAGTCAGGAACAGAATAATAACATAATTTTTTAGTTATAGTATGTTGCTGTAATATGTACAGTTTGCTGTAATATGTGGTCGCGATTATCAACTCAGTGGAATTCCAAATGATGAACTGTGCTTTAAGTTTACACCAACTGGAACCAAAGGAATATACCCATGAGTGCTCCCTGACTTAACTTGGACGGTAAGTGTTTGACAATAAAAACTAGGACACGAATTCTCTGACAAGAAATGTTAGCAGGTTTAAATAAAATATACCTGCAATTAGCAGGTTTAAATAAAATATACCTGCAATTAGCAGGTTTAAATAAAATATACCTGCAATTAGCAGGTTTAAATAAAATATACCTCCAACTGACTGTGGTGCTTATCATCCAGTCAGGAACAGAATAATAACATAATTTTTTATTTATTCAAGTAGCCCTGGTCATTTAAAAAAAATCGTTGTCTAAAATATTTGCCAGTTACATTCAGTACAAGTAGAATTTTCATTCCATTTAATTTTAGGGAAGGGGAAGTTAAACAAGTAAATAAAATTTACCACTATTAACGGTTGAAAATATATATTGAACACGAAGCAGCACTACATCTGCAAAAAAGGGAACGAAGGTAAATTTAAACTAGCGTCTAAGACATGGCTTTGGCTACACAAGCAGTAAAGACGAAAGCATATGCAGAATGTTAGTAACACTAGCATCATAACACCAATAGTTAGATTTGTAGTTGTACCAAGCTCTACAGGTGATAATGTTTGCAATATATAGTAACAAAGTATCTGCATGCAGGATTTTAAATAGAAATTTTAATAGCGTACAGCAAAGCTCTAACCCATGATCCGAAATAAAATGCAGCTGGTAAACGAACTAAAGAGGGGTCCACTGAACGAACCGGACGCGGATCACGCACGTTACGTGCACAGTTAATTTTTAAGCACGGACACAGTAAATCATATATGGTAGCATGGATTCAAACAGACAAACAGTGTTATTTGCAGTAGCACAAGTTAACGATGGAGTACGTTTTCAGTTTGCGGGTCTAAATGTAAAGGACCGTCAATGTTGCCAAAAATACGATACGAATATGTACGGTACCAGCTAAAATATCTGCCAGTTACATTCAGTACAAGTATATTTCGAATAGAAATTTTAATAGCGTACAGCAAAGCTCTAACCCATGATCCGAAACCACTGAACCATTTCAACAGCGCACCTATTACCCGTTATCTATTTTATCAATACTTGAACTTCCGTGTTATCTCATCTAAAATAAACACCCCGCACACAAAATGAATTCCATTGACTTTGAGGGCAAGTGCTGCATTTAAAATTACACAAACTCTTATTACAATTGTGAAAAGGATTCCAAGTTTACATATTCAAAACGGCAATGACTAATTACACAGCACAAATTGAAATTTTGAGTGTCTAACCTGGTAAAAATGAACTGCACCATGGTGAACTAGTACTTCAACTCTGTCAGGTATAACCATGCTTGTCCTCCTGTATACTGCCTCCTCCTGGAACATACAGTTCTTGTCAGTGAAGTCGTGTCCTAGATTCTGTTTTTAAACACTTACTGTCAAAGTTAAGCAAAGCAGCACTCATGGATATATGGTCAAGTTCGGAGACAACCTGTACATAAAATCAGTCACTAATTACACTCATTTCACTGCCATAAACGGTAAAATTAATTATAATTCCTCTGACAGTCCAAGGGGTACAGGCTCTTCAGATATTATACTCCTAACCTTTCTATAATGATATCTGGGTTCAAAATTTAAATAACTCAACCTTGGTGGAGACAGTGGCCACCTGAAAATTACAAAAATAAAGGAGCTGTAAATCACTTATGAAAAAAATATTTACTCCAAATTTCACAATTTAAAGTTACGTAAGACAGGTGGGTACTCAAAAAGTGCCGGTTGAGCAGGTTTGTCTGCTCAACACAGGTGGAGCAGCTCACTGACTACATGAGCTAATATATGTGACTAGAACTAACCCTCTCATGCTTTTTAATTGCTCCAAAGTCCTAATATTTAATATTATGGGTTATACCTTGATCATATTTCATAGAATAGGATCCTCAGAATCGGCTCAACCGAGGTGGAGACAGCATAACATGCAGTTCAAAATCTGTTACTCTGTAGTTTAGGAGCTGTAGAGTGACTGTGGCAGTCCATTTGCAATACCAATGATTCTAAATCATCTACCAACTCATATTACAAGGCATCCTTGCTGAAAAGTACACTCAACATAGGTGGAGACTCAAATTTGGCAAATTTGGGCGTAAATTTGACCTCAGAATTCAAGGTTCTCCACCGCGGTTGAGTGGTTGATGGCTTGTATACATGCTAAAGGGTCACCCAATGTTATTTCTTCCAGATATCAACTGCCATAGCTTAACTCAACCCGGTGGGGCCAGTTTTAATACATTTTTTAATGTTTTAATGTTTAATCAACAATTTCTCCACCTTGTTGAGCACCTTTTCACAACTTTGATAGTTTTTTCATTTGCTAGAACACTTTGCTTTAAGACAGAAGAGGTAACAGTTTTATGATCCCCTACAGTAGCAGTTAACAGAGCAGATAAGAATTAGTGATAAAACCAATGAATTTAGGCATGTTTGACAGGCTTTTTACTGTTTCTTAATGAAAGATCTCCACCCTGTTGAGCGTCAATGGAAAAAACAAAATTTAACGGGAAGTAGAAAAGGCCGAGACACAACTCTCTAGCTAACCTAGAACTCTCTAAACCTATCTCCACCCCCGGTTGAGCAGCTTTGAAAAGTGCATTTAATTTCTCCACCTCGGTTGAGCACTTAAATAAAATATTGATAAAACCATCAGATTGCAAATTTGATGTAGTTTGTGTTACCAATAACCTTTTCCACCTTAATCAAAAGTTTCTTCAACCAGAGCCAGTCTCCACCTTAAATCTCCACCTTTTAAGGGTTTGTTTAATACCACCTGTATCTGCTCAACCGTTCAACCTTTTATTTATTTTTTTTTACTCAGAGAAAGTCCTGAAAAATGTCTTGTCAGCCATATAATCAGGGAGTTTCATTCTGTGTTGAGCTGGCTCCACCACACACTTCTAAAAAAGTAAAAAATGTACAGGTTGTCTCCGAACTTGACCATATGCATTATTCCTTTGCTTCCAGTTGGTGTAAACTTAAAGCACAGTTCATCATTTGGATCTCACTCAGTTCACAATCGCGACCTCATATTAGAGTAAATGTTTTTAATAATACGCAATTGGACAACTAAACCGAAACATGCTATAACTAAACAATGTTAATGTTCCGTTCCTGATTGAACAGTTAGCATCACAGTCAGTTGGAGGAGCGACCAACACACTATCAAGATCGGTTGTTTATCTTAAACCCCCCCCCCCCCCCCCGCGGTTTACCGCGGTGCAGATATTGCACGCGGACCTTGCCGAGCCGAGATGTGGTAGAGATAACAATGCGAACAGAGGGTCAAATAAAGATAAGGAAAGTAAACACACGATATCGATCTGCTGACTCGTCCTGTTTGTGATTGGACGGATCGGTGTCACATGACATAACACCTCTATTACAAGTGGTCGCTCGTTGAGGATGACGGAGCACATCAGGGCTGCCCGTCGTCAGAATAAATTTAATTCAGTTGTTAGTATAATTGTTATATTGTGGTGTTGGTAACCTACCTTCGTTGTGTTTCTTTTGACTTTGTTATCATGCTGTGCTCTGGAAATTGTGATAGTACCTGTCCGATTTGTTAAGGAGACGATCTCCCTAGCTGTTCATATGTTGCAGGATCAGAATGTTCGTGAGGAACAGTCACCAAAAGTGAGTTACTTACCTGCTGTGTGTTTTCGTACTCTGGTCTTCACTCAAGTTGCAAAGCTGCAATAAACGTATCGCAAAGAACATTTATATCTGAAAATTGTGTTAGTACCAGTTCGATCAGTTAAGGTTAGGATTGCCTCGATCTGTCGGGTTCAGCTTAACTGCCTAGGTCAAGAGCTGTAGAACCGAAGGATCAAAACATATGTTGCTTGTTGCTCGTATCAACTATAAAACATCAATTTTGAGGGATAAGGAAGTGTTTATAGGTTCTGAAACCTAGCTAAATCGATTTTTCGTGCAATTTTAGGTCAGAAACAGTCATCAAAATGAGTTAATAAGAAGGTCGATTTCTCGGTTAATTTTGAGGTTTCGTTCAGAAAATAATTCGGGGCCTTCAAAGGGGGGTAACAAGAAAGCGTTACAAGTGTTACAAGCCTTCTATAATACAAAATGTGTATCACCTCTTCAACCCGCAGAACATGTGCTTACCCTAAAAATGTAAACAAATGTGTTTCACCTCCTCAACCCGCCGAACATGTGCTCACTATTAAAGTAAACAAATGTGTTTCACCTCCCCACTAGTATCCACATCTATTAACCATTGAATTAATTAACCATTGAATGTAGTGAGGTAACTTTCACAATCAAGGAGTGCAAAGAAACAAAATATCTTGGCCTCATTCTAGATAATAAATTAAACTTCAAAAGCCATGTAAATTATATTATTAGGAAGGTCATGAAGAGAATTGGTGCCATGTATAGAATCAAAGCACTGCTACCCATTAAATATAGGAAAATGTTTGCCAATGCACTCATGTTGCCACAATTCGATTATTTAGACACGATCTATTGTAGAGCTGGCAAGACAAAACTTGCTGAACTTGACACTCTGTACAAAATGGTAGCCAAAATAGCTCTCAACGTTCCACAAACAGAGAGCAGCCTTAATGTTTATAGAGACATGAAATGGTTACCACTCCATCTTAGACGACAACTCCATCTTTCAAATTATATGTTTAGAATCATCCATGACAATTGTCCTACAAACTTTATGAACAAATTTAGTTACATATCAGGAGGTAGTAGGAGCGGCGAAAGCTGCAACCTATATGTTAATAGATCAACATCACATAAAAACTTTCAATACTTGGGGGCAAAATGTTGGAATAATGTTCCAACAGATCTACGAAATCTGCCCGATGTTAAAAGCTTAAGTGATTCGTATAAGAAACAGCTACTCTCATCTATAGATTTTTTAGATATCATTGAGCATAAGCAGTGATACAACGTATCTCGGGATGATCCGCAGAGTCTCGACTAGTTTCGGCTTACCGCCATCAACAGGATCGATGAATCATCTAGCGGGAAATTTGAAATCAATTATCAATAAACAACATTCCGAAAGTATAAAAGTAAAATTCAAAAGAAAAAGTCAGTAGGGAAATGTACGAAGTAGGTAATGTAAATAAGGTAACTACTGTGAAAGCATGGAGTGGGCCAAAACAACTACAAAACGTGCAGATTAAGACTGAACTGAGATAGGAAGTTAAAAGGAGGAAACACGTTCGCAAGCAAAAAGTACACTTTACTGCTAATAATCTAAGAGAGAGTGTGTGTAAGTGTAAAGGGTAAAAATAGCCAAACATCGGACCTAATTCCCGGTAACTTTGCTCCTATTTAACCCAATAATCCTCGCTTTAAATTTCTCGATATAAATATCTTCAAACATGTTAAGTTCCTCTCTACTACATTGTTTAATAATACCCAAATTAAAATTGCTTAATTTCTCAGAAAGTTTGTCTTGGTGCATTTCAGATATGTGCATGGAAAGGGCCGATTTAGTGTAACAACCTGGTTTAAAAGCTGCCCTGTGGCTGTTCATTCGTGTGCTTAAAGTCAACCAGGTTTGGCCGAAATAAAAGCCACTATCGCACAGTTTACATTGGGCTACATAAATCACGTTTTCATTACTACAGTTAAGCCGCATGTCAATTCTGATAATCTGTTTGTTAACTGTCAAAGTACCATTTGCTGTTCCACAAGTTAGCTTGCATGTAAGACAGCGAGGTCTATTGCAAGCTTGTGATGTTATGTCCGCCGTATTGATGGAGTTGGGTGCTGAGTCAGCAGGTGTTGTCGCAAATCTCCGCCTCTTGAACATTTCATCTGCGATGTTGTTGTCCCTTCTGTGAGCTATTGTTATGGATACCTGCTTACCAATGATATGCTCAATAGTTTGTTTCTTATCTTCAAGGAAGCTCCTGATTTCGTTGAGTTCCTTGCAGTACTGTGTTGAGAGGATCAAGTTGCAGTGTTCACTATTTGGCATAGACTCATTGGTATTCTCCCTCGGTGTAAGGCGTTGATCCCGGTTAACCAGACTAGCTTTGGTTAATGCTGCCTTAAGTTCTGCATCCCTGTATCCGCTTTTCTTGAAGTCTCCCATAATCTCTTGTGCTGCTTCCATAAAAGTGTCCTCATCTGAGCATATGGTTTTTGTTCTTAGAAGTTGTGAGTAAGGAACGCTTTTGAAGACATGAGGAGGATGGTGACTGTTCCTCTGTAGAAAAGATCTGTTATCAGTAGGTTTCTTGAACAGAGAGGTAGCCAGAGTTACTGGTGTGTCGTGTTCTGGATCTGTTATCCTGACCTTAACATCCAAGAAGCTTAGCTCTCTACCTCCATCCCCTGTGAACTCTATCCCGTAAGTTGATGACTCACTGTTGAGTTTAGAGACGAAATCCTCAAATTCCTCTTTCGTACCTCTCCATATACCGAAAATGTCGTCGATATACCTTTTCCATAATCTGATGAGTACATCCCACTCTGGTATTTTAGATTTGAGATGTAGTTTGAGAAATTTGAGGAATGTGTCAGCCAAAGGTCTAGATATGGAGCCGCCTGTTGGTACTCCTTTGATGGCTTTGAAATACATGCCTCTGTACTCTAGAGTAGAGTTTTGAAGACAGAATTCGATGCATGGGAGTATGCCGCTTCTGATTTCAGGGGTTAGGGTTCTATCCTCTTCCAGTGCTGCTTTGACTGACTGTAGAACGATGGTCTGGTCCATGCTCGGGTAAAGGGCTTTCACGTCTAGAGTATAGAGTAATTCGCCTTCTTCTATTCCGACTTCTTTTATTTGGTGTAGGAAATCGTTTGTATCCTTGATGTATTCATCACTAGCATAGTTACGTGAAACTTGGCCGAAGTGGTGAGCAAGGAATTGTTCAAGCCTGGTTGTTGGAGATTGGGTAAGAGCGTGTACTAATCTCGATGGGGGAATGGTCCTGTCTAGGATTTGTTGGGGGTCTAGTTTGTGGATCTTGAATAGTGGGTATGGTATTCCTGTCCTTGTCTTAAAACAGGTTTTTCTCATTTTCCCTCCTCTTTCTGTGTACCCCGTAATGGTTTCTAAAATCTTGTTGTTGAAAGAGCCGTTATTGATTAGATTTTCAATAAGCAACTTCTGGTTTTTAAGAATTCCATCATTAGGGTCTTCTGGTAGACTGCTGTAACCATCTGATTTGCTAAGTTCAGCTCTTATAGCTTTATCCACATCCTGGGGGTTCATCACAAGGACACTTCCTCCTTTATCAGCTCTTGTGAAAACCAATTTACCAAGTCGCATCATGCTCTTACACCAGTTTTGGCCTCTAGTTTCCGCTTTTGTCAGGTTGGGGGTGGGTCTGCTACAGATCTTTTCTACAGAGGAACAGTCACCATCCTCCTCATGTCTTCAAAAGCGTTCCTTACTCACAACTTCTAAGAACAAAAACCATATGCTCAGATGAGGACACTTTTATGGAAGCAGCACAAGAGATTATGGGAGACTTCAAGAAAAGCGGATACAGGGATGCAGAACTTAAGGCAGCATTAACCAAAGCTAGTCTGGTTAACCGGGATCAACGCCTTACACCGAGGGAGAATACCAATGAGTCTATGCCAAATAGTGAACACTGCAACTTGATCCTCTCAACACAGTACTGCAAGGAACTCAACGAAATCAGGAGCTTCCTTGAAGATAAGAAACAAACTATTGAGCATATCATTGGTAAGCAGGTATCCATAACAATAGCTCACAGAAGGGACAACAACATCGCAGATGAAATGTTCAAGAGGCGGAGATTTGCGACAACACCTGCTGACTCAGCACCCAACTCCATCAATACGGCGGACATAACATCACAAGCTTGCAATAGACCTCGCTGTCTTACATGCAAGCTAACTTGTGGAACAGCAAATGGTACTTTGACAGTTAACAAACAGATTATCAGAATTGACATGCGGCTTAACTGTAGTAATGAAAACGTGATTTATGTAGCCCAATGTAAACTGTGCGATAGTGGCTTTTATTTCGGCCAAACCTGGTTGACTTTAAGCACACGAATGAACAGCCACAGGGCAGCTTTTAAACCAGGTTGTTACACTAAATCGGCCCTTTCCATGCACATATCTGAAATGCACCAAGACAAACTTTCTGAGAAATTAAGCAATTTTAATTTGGGTATTATTAAACAATGTAGTAGAGAGGAACTTAACATGTTTGAAGATATTTATATCGAGAAATTTAAAGCGAGGATTATTGGGTTAAATAGGAGCAAAGTTACCGGGAATTAGGTCCGATGTTTGGCTATTTTTACCCTTTACACTTACACACACTCTCTCTTAGATTATTAGCAGTAAAGTGTACTTTTTGCTTGCGAACGTGTTTCCTCCTTTTAACTTCCTATCTCAGTTCAGTCTTAATCTGCACGTTTTGTAGTTGTTTTGGCCCACTCCATGCTTTCACAGTAGTTACCTTATTTACATTACCTACTTCGTACATTTCCCTACTGACTTTTTCTTTTGAATTTTACTTTTATACTTTCGGAATGTTGTTTATTGATAATTGATTTCAAATTTCCCGCTAGATGATTCATCGATCCTGTTGATGGCGGTAAGCCGAAACTAGTCGAGACTCTGCGGATCATCCCGAGATACGTTGTATCACTGCTTATGCTCAATGATATCTAAAAAATCTTAAGATCCTAACGTATTTTATCTTGGGAGGATTGCGGCTAATTAACACCCTTGCTGGACAATCTCTACTTTCCTTAACGTCAGCGAAAGCTTTATCAATGTACTCTCATCTATAACAACAGACCCTAATTACACCGTCCACAATTCATATGACAAATTTTACACTGCAATCATAGTCGACGATAACTAAGTATCTTCTAATTCTTTTAAATCTGAGGCATATATAATTTATGTCGAAAGGATATTCCCTTTTTGACCACCTTACCATTTTGATTGATTTTGCACATGACTGAAATGTTTAAACTGGAGAAGGGATTCGCACAGTGGTAGTTTTATAAACCACTTTTAATTTATTGACCTATTATACCTAGTGGTATTATATTACTATTGGTAGTTTTATAGACCACATTTAATTTATTAACTTATCATACTTAGTATTTATTTTTGGTGACTGTATCACCCAGTTTTAACATTTGATAATTGTACAGTTTATTGACGACACATTAACTGAAAGTTATTTTATATTCTAATTTATATTCTAGATATTTTATTTATTTTTCAACAGACGACAACTTCCTGTTTTTTCTTCTATATTAGTTACTCATATCTCTTGTACAGACTGCTTTACAAGGACATTGACAGATGATACTCACATTAGGCATTCATTATTGCATCTAAATTATTTCACTTGCATTAGGTTTAGAAATTTATTCTCTGGTTAACAGATTTCAAATGTTTAATCAATTTGTAGTATGACAGTAAGGTATATAAGAAGTTATTTAATTTTGCTTGGGCTATTATATTGACTATTGAGGTTTAATGATGATATGGAATTTGAATTCTATATAAATTTACACTATGTGGTTGGGGCATTTTGCATAGTAAATATGGTTACTACTCCTATATATCATATTATTTGATTGGTATTCGATTTCTGATTATTTCTTAGGAATATGATTATTATATCTCAATTTGGCTTTAGGTAGGGTGCCCCGCTAAAAGAACTGGATTCTTCCAGGAAGCATCCCGTGCACAGACCTTGGTCTACATATATATTAAATTATTAACCATTCATTCTGTATGTGCACGAAAATTTATTCAATCAATACTAGGAGTAAACCTGAGGAAATTTTCTGTAGTGATCATGATAGTACATAATTATTTTCAAAACTTTATTTGGTTGTTAGTATTTTTATTATGGAAAGTGGTTGAATTTAGTGAGACAAGGTCAGTTTCTCTATTGTCTAATTAGGCACCACATTCCATGATCATATGGTCCGTGCACCCTGTACCACGACTATTACACCTCATTACTCCCGTCTTGAACAGCTTTCCATTTTTATTTAAATCGTTTTAGAAATTAACCCTTATTAACTCCGCACCACACTCGCCTATTATATTTGAAAACATGCATTACATTATCGTATGAAAAAAACAGACCGCAATGAGTGGATCCCCCTCTAATAAGCTTATATTATTACTTCAAGCTAACCTAATTATGATTCATGTACGAACACTACATAATATGTAGTAATGGAAGAGAAAGCGAAGAGGGAGAAAAAGTTACCTTAGTGCAAGAAATATAGGCGGCAAGAAATTAAGGCGATTCTGACAAAATCGCCTTAATTTCTTGCCGCCTTAATATCTGACCACCGTAATTTCTAACCGCCTTAATTTTTTTTCTTGCGATTTTTTCATAAGAAATTTTCGTGTGATTTTATTATTTTAAATTTACATGTCGATTTCGTTATTTGCTAGAATTCAATGAAATACATATTTAAAATAAATTAACTTGAGTCTAAATACATTAATATATCAATTAATATTCTCGTCTTCTCCTTCTTCATCAGAGTCATATATCTCCAGCAGCTGCAATCCATAACCAAGATAGTCGTCGTCATCTTGCTCCGTCGTGTCTGGAAATAGCTTCTTGATAATATCAGCTGATTCATCCTCCAAACGTTTGTCGAAGCTGTACTTTTCGTCGACTAACTTCTTGAGGAGCGTTATTCCCTTCTCATTGGTCCATGAAGCAGTTACAGAGCACTTCACTTCTAAGCCGCCCTGTGTAAGAGGAGAACGTGCAGGTTTCTCCTCCAGGACTTTTACTTTGTAGGAGCAGCCATGACCAATCGAAAAGTAGACAATTCGTGATATTTCAATTGGCACATGTCCTACAGTTATCGGTACTAGCTTGTGCGGAAATTTCGCTTTCACTGCGACTGCAAAAGAATCGTAGGGATTATTATCTTCCTTCTCGAATGATAAAGTATCGTCTTTAGATGGTTTTGTCCAATCCTTTTGATAAAAGTGATACCCTCTCACCCCCATGACAAATGATGTCTCTGGTATGTCAATTGTCACTGTAGTAGTACACATTGTTATACCTTTATACAACAGCGAGGTGGGAGTGTGTGTGTAGAAGAGAGCATACATAAAAATTCCTTGCCGCGTACAGAATGTGCACTATCATTTTGTCAAATGCAATGAATATACCAATTGACTTGCAGTTTGCTGATGTAGTGGATGTCTACCTAATTTAAAATTATAAACTTAGACGACAGAACAGCAATCACTATAAATATAATGTGCATGCACCATTTAGTTTTTATGTGACCAATGTCCAATATATCGTATTTTTAAACAGATTTCTATGCTTTATAGACTGATAAAAGAATAAAATTGACACTATTTCGACCAAAACTATAACCAAATTTGCGATCAAAAATCGTATTTTTTCCGAAAAAAATATCGCCTTAATTTCTTGCCGCCTTAATTTCTAGCGCCTTATATTCTTGCCGCCTATATTTCTTGCACTAAGGTATCCATTTTATGTCACATTTGTGGTACAAAAATCAAGTCCCATAACTCTAACCATTTTCTTGATTAAGCCATGTCAGCAAGTTGGTTGATCAGTGTATTGGATTTCTAGAATATTCTACATTTGATTTTAGCGAAAAACATACTACATGATACTCGACTGGAAAAAATTTAAACGGCTTAAGCAAGAACATGACACTAGCCCCTTCCTTGACAAATTTGATTTAGCTAGCTTGCACGACTTCTTTGCATCCCTTTATAAAAAAACCAGACCAGGAGCCAGATCTCACTCACCACAATCACAAACATTACCCTGAACCACCAGATCAGGATATCCTAATTCCTAAACAAGCTCATCTCAGAATCTGAAGTGACCTCTGCCATCAAAAATCTCAAAAAAGGTAAAAGTTGCTCAAACGACTTGATATTCAACGAGATGCTTCAGAGCCTAACTCCGCTTTGTCTCAAAGCCACCCTCAAAAACTTGAACCACTCACTGGTCTCCGGCTACTATCCAATATCCATGGCACACAAGTAACATTACTCCCATTTACAAGTCTGGCAACCCTTTCAGTCCGGACAACCACAGAGCAATAGCTGTTGGTAGCTGTATGGGTAAACTGTTCTCTAGCATCTTACTTGAGCGTCTCCTGCACTTCAAAAAGCTCTACTGCCCTGACCCAAAAGAACAACTAGGGTTCTCGAAGGGTGCTCAAACAAACGACCACGTCTTCACCCTTAAGACAGTCATTGACAAATATACCGAGCCAAGGTGAAAACAGCTCGCCTCTATGCATGCTTTGTTGATCTAAGAAAGGCCTTTGACAACGTATGTTATAGGGACAAAATTACATGTCTGGGAATAACTGGAAACTTCTTCAATTGCCTAAGTGATATGTATAGAAACTCAATTGCTCATATAAAAATCTCCAAACTCTTGTCCTCTAATATTGACATTGGCAAAGGAACAGGGACACCCCCTATCACCGGACCTTTTCAAAATCTATATTAATGACTTTTTATCTCTAGCTCTCCTGAAATCTGTTGGTGATTATCCTATTCTAGCTGACCTCCTAAAATCACATCTGCTCTGGGCTGACGATCTTGTCCTACTTGCCCAAGGCCTTGCAAGACAATATTAATATCCTATTCGGCTTCTGTAACTCTATGGGCCTTGAAGTAAATATTAAAAAAACCAAGATTCTCATATTCTGCTCTCCTAAAAGAAAACAATCCTATGAAACATTCACTTTGGGAGACGCATGCCAGCCCATCCAACACACCGAAACATACTGCTATCTTGGTATAATATTCCACAGAAATGGATCTTTTACAGCAGCTAATACTGAGCTGAGGGCCAAGGCTCTCCGTGCTCTCTATGGCCTTAAAGGCAATATCGTTAAAGATGCCCTCTCTCAACGTTCCCTAAACATTCTATTTGACTCTCTAATAAAACCGATCCTGCTCTATGGCTGCCAAATCTTATGTCCCCACTCAAAAACCATGAGATACCTCTCCAAAACAAATAGTAAAGCCAACCCATAGCATACTCTCAAGTACATCTCACAAGACCACTATGAAAGATTCCACCTTAAGGCTTAAGTAAATATCAAGTGGTCTTTGTCTGTCGGCTGTCCATTCAAAATTATCAAATATAGGCTGCTGGGGCGAAAGTGGGCGACACCCCCTTTTCATTAAAGCCTGCAAACTTGCAATAGATTTCTATAATCGCCTTGGAGGCACTGAAAATGAACTTCTCTCTGCTGCATTTCACGAGCAGATTATGCTCGGCCTTCCTTGGTGTACCAACATCTCCAATCTTCTCACCAAATATAACTTCCCCCACTCATCCTCCTCAAAATCTAAGCTCTCTACACAAATCAGTCACAACATGAGGGAAGAATTTGTGGATACCTGGAAATCTGCCAAGGCATCCTTGCCTAAATTAGAATTCTATAATCAAATTAAACATGACTTTGAACCAGAAACATACTTAGGAGTGGTTAAGATCCCTGATGCTCGGAAAAGCTTAACAAGGTTTCGTATTCGCTGCCACAACCTTTACATTGAGAGGGGCCGTTACGAAACCCCCCTAGTACCAAGAGAACATCGATGGTGCACTTACTACTTTTTCAGCAAGGGGCTTAAGCCTATTGAGGACGAAATTCATGTTTTAACTGACTGTTTACTCTACTCCTCAGTTAGAGAAAAATTTAACTTCCATCCCAAAAATATCACTGACCTAGCCGGTTTGCTATCTGATAAAACTCTAGACCCCAGGTCAAGATTCATGCGAAATTGCGAGCTAGGCTCATCGCACAAAATTTGTAAATAAATGAGAAAACAGAAAAAGTGTATCTTAAAAGTTGAGGGACACAATAATTAGGAATTTAACGTGTATTCTATACACTTAACGTGTATTTTATCACTTGTTTATAGCGTGAAAACTTCGACGTAACGCGCGCGAGATAAGTGCCAGATTTTTGCGAGTTTCGTTTAAATCTCATCGCTAAGCTCACGATATCGTGAGATTTTCCGCGAGATTTAGGCATCCTTTTTCAGAATTATAGGTGGCCTAGTGGTTAGCGCACCCACCCTCTGCGCAGAAGGTTCAGGGTTCGAATCACAGTGTCACCTAGTTTATGGAGTAGCTAAGGATCCATTAAATCTATTCGCCATTTTGGAAGGGCGAATGTCACACATAAAAGTAATTTGATAAACTTTAATGGCCGTATCTCAAATGTTTTTATAACATTCGCCCTTAAGAAAAAAACACAACGATTTGTACTTGATTTTAGTGATCGGGAGGGACAGTTTCTCTATAATCCTAAAAATGCTTGGGGCTAATAATGGCCCATTTATAAAAAATTATCTTGAGCCAGTCTTTTAAAGAGATGCTGGTAACTCCAGTCTTGCTGCTTGCATATTTAAATGTATCATATGGCAAAAAATAATGGGATTTGATTTAGTAATGATTTCCATTATTTAAAAATCTTGCTTACCAACTGATAATCCTGACAATGGATTCAGTTATCAGTAACATTATATTCCTTAGATTACAGCGATTGTATGATATTACGCAATTCACCATTCCGCCGAAATAGTGTCCATGATGCTCATAGTTGCCTACCAAAATCTGGTGCAATCCATCGAACGATGCTACTATCAACATGGGTTATACTGCTCGTCTAATGCTTATCGCATCATATCGTTTACCTGTTTCATTATTGGGATCATGAGGTAAGTTAGATTAATTTAGGTTTTAACTTGCTTTAAACTTTTAAACTATGCATCAAAATACAGACGTTCATCCCACAATTCATTTCTCTATATAAAAAGTTGCATTTCTGTATAAAATTTCATTTCATAAAATCCCCACAGTATTGGTATATTCTACTCACCTCTCGTACATGGAAATGGCATAATTGAGTGGCGCTCCAGCTCCAGCGATAGAAAAACTTCTGAAAATCATAGTCCTCAGTGGTTACATTCGCCACCTCTTGCCTCAGTCCAGCATTTCATGATCCAACTGAAGCACAATTCTCCATTTGAGGTATGTTCCTTTCATAAGTTATTATTATGGACACTTTATACTTTACTTATAATATGACAGAAGCAAGCAATTGTCCGATAATTCATAAATACAACTTATAATCCTAATTATCCTAATTATCCTAATCAGCTAAATCAGATTCCTTCAGGCAATTCAAACAATGTTCAGTATTCAAGAGAGGATAGTAAGCACAAAGATAATAACAGAAGAAGGGTCGTTAATATTATCTGATGTTTGCTTTCAGGCAGAGGTTGATACTCATTGTACTTTGAATAATATTAGACTTTTGTTTTATATGTTTTCTAATAAAAATCGTCTGAATCGCAAACTTTTAACATATTCCACACTACAAAGCTGCATTAAATTAATTCAGTGTTACATTTAGGAAATGAAATCAGAACCTCTATTTATCACGCCTCGGTTTAAAGACCCTTGCTTAACTGGGCTGACACGTGTTAATTAATGGAAGTTCTACATATTTATTTACAGTACAACTTCATTAGAACACATGTATGTTTAATTTGTGAAATAACAGATTTTCTTATCACATTCTTCACAAATCATGAAACCAAGCAATTTTACTTTGATATTTTACGTACCTCAATTAAATGATGCCTATGATATTCTGAATCTATTGGATCATACAATAACTTAAGAACGCTTTAAGCTAGGAACTTCAAAGTTTCTAGACATATTTTGTTTGATAATTGAAGTGCTTTCCCAAAATTTCAAGTTCGTTGTTTACAACTAAGCCGAGTTATGACCATTTTAAGTTCTGACGGATGCATGATTCCGGCACTTAATCAGTAATCTCTAAAGAAAGTCATTATGAGTATTCACTTAAAGTGATCAGATCGGCATCCCCCAACATGCTCGGTACCGCCTAATGAGGCTCATTGTTGCACGATAGCGAATAACTCCCGATGAGATCACCGATGAGATCACGAAATCACTGATTAAGTGCCGAGATCACGTATCCGCAAGATCTTGAAAGGGGTCATAACTCATAAGTCATAACTCGATTAAATTGTAAACAAACAACTTGAAATTTTGGGAAAGCACTTCAATTATGAAACCAAATGTGTCTGGAAACTTTGGAGCTCCTAGCTCAAAAATTTCTCACTTTATAGTGACAATACTGAAAAAGAAGGAGTGGCGTGCCACACCCTCTGTAATTGATGAAATTTTACGAAATTTCAGGAAATCTAAGTTTGATCTATATTATCTGAAATTTCTGAGCAATTATGATACGAATTACGTGAGTTATTAAAGGGTTGCGTGTGGGTAGTAACTTCTGGGCCACTCTGTATATAATAATTATTCATGTTTCAGGGCCAGAAGGATCTGATGAGTGGACTGCCCACAAACTCAACGTGCATGTTACTGAGTCCAACACAACTGTGGGGCAACAACATGGTGGTCTTCCTCAGTGACCCAGATATTCCTGAGACTATCCTAGGAGACAGCAGCAATCCTACTATCCGAGGTTTTCTCATATATGCAACCATTTTCGTAGTGTTTCTATCACGATAATCTGTCTCCATAGCAAGGTTTAGTACAAGAAAACTTTTTAATTTATATTCTTCTTCAGTAAGTAACAATAATTTCTTGCAGCGTTGATGTTTGGTACGAGTTGGACTACACCCCCTCACCCTATAACCCTAACTCTGTTCCTCAACCCCTCTCTTTCCTCATCTGTCGTGTCTAAGTTCCGGGAAGCTATCATCAACGAGCTCTCCCAGTCTTACTCCGTATCCATCTTCACTGAGAAGGAGTTTAAATCAGATTACATTTTCATGAAGAAAAGCGAGAGAGAAAACTTGTTCGGAGTTGAAGATGAGCGGATACATTTGTTTTACAGTGATAAAGTGAACCTATTGCAGCTCCTTCCCCTGGCCATGCTCTACGTTCTGGTTTTTATCTACATTGTGATAAGTGTCAGGAAGATAACGCTCGTAAAGTCGAAGGTGGGACTAGCCTGTGTAGCTGTAATGACCATCGTCTTCTCTTTTGTCATGTCCTTGGGTTTCTGTGTCTTCTTTGACCTGCTACCTACCCTGACGGGAAGTGATATTTTCCCCTACATTTTCACGATAGTGGGCCTAGAGAACGTGCTGACTATTACACGGTCCGTAACAATAACAGCGGGTGACCAAGAGGTACACATCAGGATAGCGCAGGGATTGCAGACGGAGGGAACGAAGATCACTAAGAATGTGTGCGGACTCGCTCTGATGTTCTTGGTTGGGATTTGCTCGCCGGTGCCCGCAGCCTTTCACGAGTTCTGTGTTGTGGGTCTCGTGTGTGTCATATGTGACTTCTTCCTTCAGCTGTTCTTCTTCGTACCAGTTCTATCGTTAGATATTCGTAGATTGGAACTAGCTGATCTCAAATCAGGACCTTACCCTGCCCCCTCAATTCCCATTAATGGGAAACTGCCTGATTGGACTGACAGACCCCGCAAAACTAAAATATTCCGTCACCACGCAGCCCACAAGATCCTGACTTTGTCAGTTTTTCTCTATGTTTTATATGTCATTTATCACTCAGTATGGTTCTCTAACAGCGAGAAAAATGATAAAAAGTTGACGTTACCGGGCATGATTGCTGTGGGATCTACTCGAATTATCAATTGGATCCTTTCAATGGATTATTTACAGCCTAAAAGTCAGGTAAGCAGTGAGCGGTGAGCTAGGGTAAGCTACTAGATATTATTCTGTTATCAAACTGATTGGTAATTAGAGTTCCAAGATATCCTTATCTCACATTTCAGGACATCACTGCATATTGCATAAGTATATTATATTATGATTTATAGATTTTAGAGAATCTTTCAACCCTTGACATGGCCATGGTAGCATTGGGTTGTCACTATCTCATATTATCCAATATTCAGTAACCTGTTTCTGGTGTATTTCATTGCAATGCAATATGTAGTTCATACACACTTGCTACTTGGATCCTATTTCTGAACATGACGCGTACTAAGTTAAAGAATCACATCTACGTAGCACTGATAAAACACATATTAACATATGTTTTTGCAGTATGTCTTTCATTTGTGTCTAACATGACTTGGCAACCGTTCTATAATATCACGTCCGCCCAAAATTTAATTCACACCCACAATCATCATCCTGACATTAATTTTCGAACAAAACGTTTGGGTATAAAATAACTGCGAAGTATCCGATATCTCCAAGTTGTTTTAAGTAACGGGGCAATTTAAAATGGAGCTTTGCGACCTGGTTTATCATCTTCATGCTTATTATAATTTATATCCCATGGCCATGGTGCCATTTAATCGATTTGAATTTATATTCGGTCTCTAAACAAAGAGAAACTGCTCTGAAGAACTTAAACAATTATACCTTTTTATTCATGATATTAGGCTTTAGAGACGGGGAACATATCGTGTCCACTGTCCATATTGATAATTGTTACTTCCTGGCTATTTGAATTAAAGCCCTGTCGTGATATCGTGGATCAAATTAGTTCCACCGGGATCTGGCAGTATAAATAGTATTTACTACAAGTTACCAACGATAATTCCTGTCATCCCTCCGTTTTTACAGTTCAGAGTTCTGACATAAGGTTTACTTATATTTAAGGTTGCCTGAGGATCATTTTGAAGAATATATTATTTTACAGGGCGACAGGTCGTCTTATGAGAAGATGTTCCCCCACACCTTCCTAGCCACGGGGAGCACAGTGGACATGTTGGACCAGTCATGGAGGAGAGCTGCTAGGGACCACTGGCCTATCTTGTTTAAACAGTACAACATCATTGTAACTGCCAGGTAATCGGTTTCTTAAATCTTACCAGTGTGCTATGTTGGTAGATTTATATTGTATAAGTATCACTAAAATCCATTGTTTTCGTCCGTGAGGATTGGCTAGGGGCTTCCACCCCTGTAACGACTTTCGGGTCTGACATCAGCCTAATGTCTGAGACATTTCCGAAGAAATTTTTTGCCAGATGTTCTTCATTCATAAGTCTGTATAAAATTGATTAAAATTTGGTTAACCTTTTGAATGATTCTCCGGGTTCCGGAAATATTGTTATTCAACCGGAAGTGAAAGATTGGGGGTTCGATATCATGACTGACCTTAAATTTCAACAATTTCTGAGAAGTCGAGGTTAATCGATTCGCGAACCTCAGTCGTTGATATGATGGAAAATATATTTAACGTCGTGAAATTGGTTGTAATTTAATCTAAGGTGATAGTAAAATAAGATAATTTCATTCTTACTAAAATGGAACACGCGCTCGACAAAATGATTGAATCACCCCGCCAAATTTCCAATTAAGTTCATGCACGCGCGCATTTCGTTACGCGCGCGCACGAATCGAATAACGAACCGTGCAGTGTTATAATTTTCATTTTCCCTGAGGGTGTCCATCGATATTCGAGCCATTAGAATTGGAAAATTATCGCTAATAATTGAAATAAAATCTTTAATCGAATCTCTTCATACAGGTACTTTGATATACACAAGCCCATACACATTGAAGACAAAGGAGGACTTCGACAACCAGATCCTATTACATTTCAGTCCCATGTATGTCATATGGATTACCACGATACTCATAACTCTATTTTCATGTCTTCTATTTGAAGTTTTTGCAAGCATGCTGATTACATAAAAAATGCTCAGTGAGTGAATTTGTTTAAAATTTTGCTGGATTACGGTAAATGGTTCGAATTTTACCTTCATAACAATTCCAGGTAAGGCAATGGTTACAAATGCCAGTTACTCTTCACCTGATATCGACAGTCTTAGGGTTGATATCATTTTTACCTATCGCTATTCTTCTCTACTTGTCGTTTCTTGGGTTGTACAAGTTGCTGAAACCTCGGTCAAAACCTCAGAGGTACAGTTAGAAATTTACGAATTTTTTTGAATATTCTAAACATAGTAAAAGCTACTAATTTAGATGCTGATATGAAGTATGTAATGTGATTCTGAATATTTTTGTCATCGAATGGAATATGTAAAAAAAAGATTTCTTCAAATTCTCAGCGTCAAGCAAAAACAAGATCATCCCCTTTTGGAGGTTCCTTTTATCCTGTCTGAGCATGAGGAGGTAATTCTTATCTTCAATTTTCGAATCCTATTTTAGATTGAAAACACTTCGTCTTCATAATCTGCTCAAACGTTTTCATTTTCAGTTAATTCGAGTTTAGAAATTAATCGAAACGTTTTACTAGGATATTGAACATCTAGCAGTTCATAGTAACAAACTGCTGACAACATCATTTGATGGACTCTCTGTACTGTGGGATCTTTTATCGGGCAAAGTACTTCTCAAAATAACAAGGTTTCGAGATCAAACAATACTTTTCATATCCAAGAAATATTGCAACCAAACTTATGTTATTATATTAATACTTTAGGTTTCAATAGGTTCAATTTGCAGTACTTAAACTGCTTTATAAATTCATACGTCTCACCTTTCAACCACCAAATCCTAGTGAGACGATACCGTGGTGTACAGCTCTATCAGATAAGATCTTGCTACTTGGACACGGAGACGGATCTGTAAACGTTGTCAACTGGGGGAGCAATGATATTATCACTGTTCAGCAGCAGTCATCTGGCATCTTGTTACTCTGCTTCATCGACCAAATGTAAGTCGAAAATTCAAATATGACAGCCAAATCCCCCCCCCCCCCCCCCCCCCCCCCTTAGGATATTTAACCTTTTTTGCCAATTCCGTAATCCGTCGCCACTTCTTCCAGGTCAGTTCTGCTTTGTCATGAGAACGGAAGAGTGATAGTAATCGCTCTGTCTCCCCGAGTTATCAATCCACCTGTTGGCCAGAACAGCTTCCAGGGTCAGGTGGTGGAAGTGAAAGCAGAAGCCAGGATATACCCCAGTTCGCTGATTAAGTATTGTGATCAGTCCTGCCAGTTAGCGGTATGCGGTGGCAGCAACATTGTTAAAGTAAATCACCCCTTACTCCTTAGCTTGATATTTTTTGCTCTGGTTGCTTTATCAATTTATTATCTTAAAATTGTGGCACAATTTGAAATACTCCATGTATTAACGTTTTTACTCACTTCATAAATCCCAGGTATACGACGCTAACTCGTTGACATTGCGGAAAGTCTTACAGTTCCCCCAGTCAGTTCAACAGTTGCACTTGTCACGTGATATGCTCTTGACTTGTGATAACTTCTCTGCTGTCTACTCGTGTGATCTCAGGAATTCTGATCTTATTGTGAGTTAAATATAGGATAATTAGGAAGTTTGCTGAAGGGACCCCTTCGGTTACAATTGAACTTTAGATGACTAATGGTGTGCCTGGATAAATTCTACAAATTTATCATCAAGCAATTATGGTCAGTTGAACTAATTCAGCGTGCATGATTTCTGTTCAATTTCAAGCAATAAAGATCCAGTTTTTCAATGTTAAATCGTTTAAATTCCAGGAGGAGTACGAGAGCAAGGTTGGAGGGATTAGCAAGATTCTTTCAACCGATGACTGGATAATTGGACACTTAACTGATGGTCCAGTTTTAATATGGGAGAACTCATCCTCCTCTTATCCCCATCAACTTGATGTTAGTATCAGTTTGAGTTCCCTGTTTTAGTCACAAGTTGCAATGAAATGGTGAAAACTTTAGTTTTCATCATTTAGTTAAAATTCATTAGAACATACTGTTTTTTGTTAGACCTTCCAGATTTGAGAAAGTTGTTGTGATAAATTGTGACATTACAAAGATATTTGGACACGTTCATTGAAGTTTGAGGATATTGGTAAATATTAGTGACCCTACTAAATGGCACGATGATGTAAAATGTGTCACACTATAAAACTATATAAACCCTCAATGGTTAGGATAATCGTTTCATCCTCTAGATAAACTTTGTCGCATAACGATATCTTTATCAGACGATAAGATATCGCTTAAATGCGGCCGGCAGTGAGTTGTAAACTTTGTCACACTATAAAAACGTGACAGAGTTTATATGGACCCCTTGTTGCCGTGTTTGACCAAATTTTCGAATTTCCATTCTATAGGATAGTTGCATATGACTATTATCTACATATTTAGCGACTTTTTTCGTTAAATGGTTGCACCATGTAAACTCCGTCACACATTTAAGAAATTTATATGAGGGATGTTTATGACATCCTGACAAGAAATGCCGAATAGTCTAGCATTATTTTGTGAGCTGAATGTGTTTGGAATTGTTCACATATTTCATTGTTATAGGCAAATACAAATACAGAAGGCAGAAATAGGTAAATTTAGTCACATAAATTTGTATGATATCTCAACATGTGTGAAATTGAGTAAATATTAGTATACCAACTTAAACACCCTATATTACGTACTATGGATCAATTAACAATATTTCAACCATACGCCGGTCATATAAATTATTATATGGCAGTGATATGTTAACATTGGCAAAATTTCAACACCTGAACAGGGTAAAAATTTGTAAATTTCGTCACAAAAAAAATATTATAACTTTATTTGCTCCGTGTTGGCAAAATAACTAATTTATCGACATTGTGATGGTGATAAAGTAACATTATATACTAATTGAGGTATGATTCTTCAAAATAGGGGCAAGAAATGTAAATTTCGTCACATTAGCCATAGCATTAGTTAGATAGATTTTCTTTCATATCAACTGCCCTTATTATAGCTAGAATGGATTTATACAGGAAATATAGAAACCCATGCCCATTTTTCATCACATTGAAATTATATTGTTGGGGCAGGAAAAGTAAATTTCGTCACATTTCGGTAAATTAGCTAATTAGTGATATCAAACTCAGCATTGTTAAACTTGGGTTCTGATTTGCTGAAAAATAACCAACCAATAATTCCTGGAAGAAAATTGAATTTTAACTGAGGTATGGTTCTTTAAAATAGGGGCAAGAAATGTAAATTTCGTCACATACGTAATTTTAAAATTTAGATAGATTTTATTTCCTACCAATAGTCCTTATTATAGTCGGAATGGATTTATACAAGAAATGTAGAAACCCATGCCCATTTTTCATCACATTGAAATTATACTGTTGGGGCAGGAAAAGTAAATTTCGTCACATTTCAGTAACTTAGTAAAATTAAACTCAGCATTGTTAAACTTAAGTTCTATTTTGCTAAACCATAACCAACCAATAATTCCTAGAAGAACATTGAATTCTAACCGAGGTATGGTTCTTCAAAATAGGGTCAAGAAATGTAAATTTCGTCACATACGAGTACGTCATTGTAAAATTTAGATACAATTTCTTTCACGTGAACAGTCCTAATTACAGTCCGAAATGATTAATACAGAGATACAGGAAATATAAAAACCCCTGCCCATTTTATAATGTATGTAATATGTTAATCACAGACTATTTCATTCTATAATCATTGTTTCCAAATTTAACCTATTTATGATGTCTTATCATTTTGTGACGATGTTTACATCAACTGCCCTATACTTGAATCAACTGTATCCGTGTATCGTCCTTATATAGAGTTTTCCCGCAAAATGTAACCTATTCACGATGTCGTATCATTTTGTGACGATGTTTACATCAACTGCCCTATACTTGAATCAACTGTATCCGTGTATCGTCCTTATATAGAGTTTTCCCGCCTTCCAAACCAAAATCAGATATAAATGATTTCGAAAATTCAGCCAGAATTTCAAATTCCATATAATGTGACAGAATTTACATCATTTCCCAATAACCAAGTGCATGTATTAGCTAACTTTTCAAAACAACATATTTTAGGGCTATGATTGGCAGAAGAACCATCAAATAATGAGTTGAAAGGGTTTTGAGGACACCTCACAGTAGAAAAGAGGTCTCGTATTCTGAGTGTGACAAAGTTTACGAAATATTGCCTTAAAGCCGTTCGATCCGTGCCCTTTAACCAATGTTGTATCATAATTGTTAGATTGACCTAATCTACTATATTTCAGACCAAGGAATGATAATTGGGCAGCTATGGTAAACAATGTCACAAAAATGTGACATTTTTTACATTATAGTGCCTAAAAGCAATACATTTTATTTCTGAGCAGTGCATATGGGAGTATGGGTCACGTGGCTAATGTTCAGAACTTATGAACACGCTAGAATAATAGATGCTAAAATTAAGCCACTATCGTCGAAAACGCTATTTTAGAAATTTACCAATATCCTCAAACTTCAATGAACGTGTCGATTTAGTAATGAAACAATTTAGAGTTAACATTAAAATATAAGAACTACGGTGGTCAGATCGTTTTATAGTTAGCTGGGAGAGCGTTAGGAATTCGAACCGCTTACCGGGCCGATCGAGACATCTAATTACTCGTAACTCATATTAAATGAGAAATTCAGAAACTGTTCAGCTTCGTCCCCGTAAGTTGGTTAGACCTTAGTAGGCGAGGCTGGCGAAAATATATCTTGAATTTGACTTGTAACCATCTACAGGTGATAGCGCAAGATATCTCCCTCCTCCACGAAAGTCACATTATAATTCTGCAATCCGACAGCATCGTTCTGTGGTCACTGCGGGACCAGCAGTATCTAGATGATATCTCATTAGGAAGATATATATCAGACCCAGCACACATTCGACTGAAAAGCAGCCCCAACGTTGCCTTTGTCTTGGACGGTCCCAACGTTGTACCGTTTACTGTTTTGAATTGATTTCCTCAGTCCTTTAAAAATATCGTGCGATTAAACGTTGAATATTTATTACTGTTTATAAACCTCTCTTATTTGGGATGATCAGATCTTTTGGAGTATTCACAGACTATTAACCCAGGCGACGATTTTAGTAATTTTAATTAAATTTAGACGAACACCTTTTCACAGCTTTTTAACTTTATTGCGTCAGATATGGTTCGTTGAATTTATTTCTACCCTAAGATTATTTTTGTGCAGAAAGTATTTGTGTGTCCTAAATTAGGGCTATTGTTGTGCACCCGTTCTGCACTATGACTTTATAGGCTTTATATGCTGATTTTTAGTTTACATGATATTAAGATAACAAACTATTCTTATCTGTTATGTATTTGTTACTCGACAAAATCAGGTCAGCAACTGTTTTAAACTGGAAAAATTTACAAAAAAATGACCTGATTTTGTCCCTGAATTAAGCTCCCAAATGGAGTTGAAGGAGCGCTAGGTTCGCCAGGCTAGGTGGTAGGAAAAGGAGTTTATTAAGTTAACTGTCATTTCTGATTTTAGGCCTTAGATCCCTGATCCTTGTATAATGCACGCTATCAACAGATCAGCTCTTGCTTCAAATATTATCGATAGTCTTGACAGCGGTTCGTAGAGGAGGTCACATTATTTGGTCCCCGTGACAACGGTCCCCAACGTTTTAAATTTTGATGTCAAATATTAGGTCGTGTTACGTATCTTTTAATTTTACGTTATTTTATGAGTTTTATACATTTTAAAACCCAAAAAGTAAAGTTCTGACTTCGTTGGAACACGGCTGTGTTGATCAACGCTAGATAATTATAAATCCGGTTTAACCAGCGAGCTTGGTACGGTCCGTTCAGTTAAACTATTCCAATCTTTACCGGGCTTCTGTGAGCGTCTAACCATCACCTAAGGGCTGATTCCAACCTTTAAATTCAACAGTTTACCAGTCAAGTTTGTCTCGGTATGTATTGTTATCTGTGTACCAGAGCTCCGGTAACGCCATTAGCTACCAGCCAGCCATTAGCTACCAGCCAGCCATTAGCTACCAGCCAGCCATTAGCTACCAGCCAGCCATTAGCTACCAGCCAGCCATTAGCTACCAGCCAGCCATTGTTTATGCAAATAGGCTATAATACATAATTATTATTATGTACTATAGCCTCCTCTAGCTTAAAATTAGAGTTTAATTTCCTAATTTCGTGACAAATGACCTTTCTGCTTTTCTCATTCTAGCGACTTTCACCTTGTTCTAATATTTGTTACACACCTGCCCTGCTATTTTAGTACCTCAAATATCATTTTGGTTCAGCAACTCCACAGTCATTTGCCCTTTAATAAAAAAAAATGGCGCTACCGGAGCTCTGGTACACAGATAACAATACATACCGAGACAAACTTGACTGGTAAATTGTAGAATTTAAGGTTGGAATCAGCCCTTTTAGTTAAAATTCATTAGAACATACTGTTTTTTGTTAGACCTTCCAGATTTGAGAAAGTTGTTGTGATAAATTGTGACATTACAAAGATATTTAGTAATGAAACAATTTAAAGTTAACATTATAATATTAGAACTACGGTGGTCAGCCATTAGCTACCAGCCAGCCATTAGCTACCAGCCAGCCATTAGCTACCAGCCAGCCATTGTTTATGCAAATAGGCTATAATACATAATTATTATTATGTACTATAGCTTCCTCTAGCTTAAAATTAGAGTTTAATTTCCTAATTTCGTGACAAATGACCTTTCTGCTTTTCTCATTCTAGCGACTTTCACCTTGTTCTAATATTTGTTACACACCTGCCCTGCTATTTAGTACCTCAAATATCATTTTGGTTCAGCAACTCCACAGTCATTTGCCCTTTAATAAAACCACCAACAACTGCACCTGGAAAATCGCTGAATCATAATTGCCGAATTGTCTCACGATTGAGATGGTCCAGAATTTGATCTTTTACAGTATTATTAGTGCAGCTCCCTCTTATTTGAACAATTTTGAGACATCAGACAAATTTAGAATATTATGCAATACAGATTCGGACAGTATAATTGTTTTGTTATGGTAGTGTTACTACCTGTTAATTATATTTATAGATTACCGTCACAGCTGAGCCAAATGTAATTGTTTAATTGTTGCCTACCCTGGTCGCTTTAGTACCTCTAACCGGTAAAATGCCCAAATTGTTAAATGATTCGATAAATCATATTACACAATGCCAGTTCCCCGTTCGCAATACGGGAGATTCTAAGTACTGTCAGTGGCCGTCACTCGGGGTCATCGTGAGATTGTTTATAGTTAATATTTTGGTTGCTTTTAAATAGATAAATCAGCTGTAGGGTTTTCACAATCTCAAAACATGAGCTTAAAACCATGTCCAACTCCAACTTACCAAGAGTAAGCCAATACAGACAAAATGGTAGAAAATAGACATTCGTTCTCTTATTATTAGGAAATACCTGTGAGTGCAAGGATCACTGGATCAGTACGCCGAATAATTAATTTAGCTCGCTAACTAATTAAATTAGCTCGCAGACCATCAATCATGGTCGGATTATCTTATGAACTTCAACCCTGTGCTGAGCAGCTGTTTTTTAAGCCGTGTGGTTAACTTTTTAATTAATGAGATTTCAAATATTTCGTCACGTACATGAACAGTTGAAAGCTTATTCTCTCGTATTATGGGCCACAATTTATGACCAATCTAGCTTTGATCTCGCATAAGAAGAAGTGTGAAATTTGAAGATTGCATATTTTTTAATTGTACCTTGCATTGTATCACCACTACGATCTTGCTACTGGAGATAGGACACCATGTTATTGACTATGTCTATAGTGAGAGAATATATCGATGGATGTATCTCCCTTAGTGATATTTCATCGGCTAAACCAAATTCATGGTTACATACTCATTACATAGAGTGGCGTTCATGAATAATTCCTCATTCTTTCAGTTTCTTGATAATGATATATTAAAGATGGATTTGAGTGATGAAGAATATTATATTTAATCTTTATAAACCGATATGATTCATTTACAGAGCACACTTATTAACTTATACACTATACAAATGTTATAGAGATAAAGAACTTTTTCAATAGATGTTACCCGAGTTGTCAGGTTTTTACTATTTGATTCAGTTTATCGTGTTCCTCCAAAAGCTAATTTTTATTTATTCTCCAGCAAATTAGCAACTCTTAATTGTTCATTCTCAATACTCCTAACTGTAGGGCGACCGACACGGACCACAGAATACCAGTAACCAGATGTGTGGAAATTGAACATTCCTTGCCTGACAACACGGGTCACTTCGCCCCCCCCCCCCCCCCCTCCCACGTGAAGTGGCAGGAACCCCAAAAGTGATCTATATTAAAGTCACAAACATAATTGAGGTCTCCCAGTCCAGACTTGGAGCACAAAATTTCCGGGCAAGTGGTCTATGTCGATAAATGTTGTTGATCTCTCTAAAATACGAAAGCTGCTTCTTTGCAAAAAATTGCGCGAAACTGTACATGCTGGTACTTAGACGAGAAATTGTGATTTCTCCCTCATGCTTGAACTTGAAGGCAATCAAATCAGTTTTGTCTGTATGAACTTCGTGCGTAGAACTGTTTTATATCTACGCACGCTCACTTTCATTCTCGAGCTCCGTCTACAGAAAAATCCTGTGGGGGGGGGGCTGACCATATTACAGTATATTAAAGTATATCCCGCCCTCAAATCGGGAAAAAACCTACACTTTAATATACTTTAACAATGTTAATGTACCCAAAATAAAACAGCCAAAATTAGTCGAGCTATATTCTTCGTTTAGATTTGCAAGATAAGCCTGTTTTTGGACTAGTAGTACTAGTAGTACACGAATTTACAATTACATTCAGTTTGGTCAAAAAATGGCTGAGTTATGAGCTTTAAACCATACTAGCAGGAACCCGTATAACCCTAAAATGGTGTCAAGACTTAAGAGACTAAAATAATTATTACCTATTTAATTCGCGTTTTTGACACCACTTGGGGGTCCAAATTTTGGGCTCTAAAACTCCTATTCCTTGGCCAATTTTTTATTTTTTCATGCTGATTTGAAAAGCTAAAGCATAAAAGCATTTGACCCAGTCAAAAAAGTTTCAGTTGTATATCTTTTACGGTTTTTGCGGAAAGTCGCGTTAAAGTTGATGCCGTGGTGTCAGTAAAATGGCACGGATCCATATATATATATCGTCTCGCTTTATATATAGTAAGATGCCCATATTTGGGCATACGCACCAAATTAGAAAGCTTTTGCCCAAAATTCGATCAAATTTCAATATTTTTGAATGAGAATTTATGTGAAAGATATAGCTCAATATTTGTTGAATAGTGGATACTATAAGTTAAAAGACCCCCATCATGAACAAAATTGCACATAATATCTCGGTTCGGGATACTAGCCAAACTGACTTCATTAAAATTGAAACAACTCCATCAGTTTTCAATATTTTTGCATGAAATTTTCGGAATCGATTAAGAATTGCATTTAAAGCCTCCAAAAAGATTTAGGTCTCCAAAAAGATAGGGATATATTAAAGTATATTAAAGTATATCCCCGCCCCTAAATCGGGAAAAACCCAACATTTTAATATACTTTAATATGGTCAGCCTCCCCCCACCCCCCAATCCTGTGGATGGTGGAACTGGAACCAACTCCATGTCAGTCACCACATTGTAAATGCTTCAACTTTCGAGGCAATCAAATCAATCTTGTCTGTACGATAACAGTGTTTAGTTTACAAGAATTCGGTTTAATTGGACATAGCCATGTGTATACGCGTACTGCGTGACGCGCTTGTTTCGCGCGCTACTGCAAGCGAGAGGGCTCTGGTTAGAGCTAGGACCAGATTTTAATCTAATTCTAAATCGGCCTGATTCATGATTCTCTCCCTTCGAAATTATTGCTACATGAAATACTGTCTGGCTAATCAGCACTGTTTAGTTAAAGACCTCAGCTGCTAGAGTATCTGTCACCAAAATGTAACTAGGTCGAACAGAAAAATTAGGTCTCACGCAGGAATTAGGTCTCAAGCAGGCGCGGTTTTAAAATATTTATAATTATATACAAAATCAAATATAAATATCACGCGCCTGCGTGATCAGACTTACTGGGCCGCGCTCAGCCTGTCATTCCGCCAAATCTTTATTCGTGTTAATGAACATAATAGCCTGGGGTCCTCAGGTAAGATCAGACTAAATTCCTATTTCCTGCGTGTAGAGACCTAGCACTAGTGAGACTTAATTTCTCCGTTCGATCTAGTTACATTTTGGTAACAGTCGTCGACGGTCCTGTATTTAAAACAAACATTTTACGAGTATCACCCGTTAACGTAGACAGGTAAGCTGGATAAACACCCCATGCAGTGATACCCAATTGTGATATAGATGTTCGCGAGTACACTGATTTGTTGTTATTAAACAAAATCTTCAGTCTTGATGGTTCGATTGCTCCTTTTTGTTAAACCATTTTTTAAGTTCTTCAAAATTCTTTGTGTTGGTCACCGACAACCTTGACGGATGTTACTCGTCTAAATTTCTTCGAAGTAGCGCGCGCCGCTTTCTTCTCGAAATGTCCGACGGCGCGCGCCGGGCCAGATCATTAACAATGGTCAACGACAACCTTGTCAGAGGCGGCTCGTGGGAGGTGGCTGGCAGTTTTGTTGGGTGTCCAATCGACGGACTGGGGAGGGGAGGGGAGGGGGTG